GAACTCCTGACCTTGAGCGATCCACCCGCCTTGGCCTGCCAGAGTGCTAGGATTAAGCCACCACGCCCGGCCTCTGCTAACGTTTTAGTACATTTCCTTCTGGTCTTTCTCAACAGGGCTTCTGAAGCTGTCTGGGCAAGGGGTACTTTTGGTTTCTAAGGCAGCCTACAGATCTCTCCTCAGGAAGATGACTTCAGTGCTTTAGGTCTAGTTTGTACTTCTTTTTCTAGTTCCCCAAGGTGGAAGGTTGGGCTATTGTTTCAAGATCCTTCTTTGTTAATATAGTGTTTATGGCTATGAGTTTCCCTCTGAACACTGCTTTAGTTGCATCCCATGCACGTCTTTGCAGTTTTGTTCATCTAGAGTATTTTCTAATTTCCCTTGCAAATTCTTCTTTGACCCAGTGGTTGTTCAGGAGAATGTTGTTTACATACCCTTCCAAGGGAGAAAAAATCCTCAACATTCTCTCACCCCATGATCCTGAAGCTCTAATTTGAGAAACAGCAGTAGAAACTGGTTTAATACTTAGGTAAACAAAGAAAGCTGATTATTAAAATGTAGTTATCAAAATATTAACATCAATTCCCAACAGAGGATTTTATGTGCTGCTTTATTAATGCATAAAACAACAAGGTCCGGGAGCAGCTCTAGTAACTCCTGTAAATTCTAAGTATGTAGTTAACGACCCTTAACATAAGGTAGTTTGTTCCTTGTGTTCATCGTTGCTGGGCGTGCACTGTAGTCCAGGAACGCTGAGCATAGAGCTGTGTTTTTTCCCATCCCAGGTCACAAAGCCTCTAAATTCCCTCAGTGAAGAGCCTGTTATCACCGGAGGTTTTTGCGATCACCCCTTGTGTGGGTTTCATGGGGCTCTAACAGAGTGTCAAAAACTTGGTAGTGATTCTATTTTTACAAAAAAAAACCAAAAACCTTGGTAGCTTAGAAAAACAGAAACTATTCACTTTCAGTTTTGGGGCCCAGAAATGTGAAATCAAGGTGTGGGCAGCGCCTGTTCCCTCCAAAGGCTCCAGGGAGAGTCCTTCGTGCCCCTCCAGCTTGTGGGGTGGCGGGCACTCCTCGTGGTCCCTGGGCTTGTGCACGCGTCCCTTCGATTTCTGCCTCCATCTTCACATGGCGTCTTCCCTGCACATCTGGGGGTCCTCCCTTCGTATGAGGACACCGGTCATGGAGTAGAGCCCACCTCATCCAGCAAGATCCCACCTTAGCTGACATGCGTTTCCAAATGAGACTACGTTCCATGGTTGCCAGTGAACGTGAATTTCAGGGGGACACTGGTGAACCCACCTTGCATACTGTGCTGAATCGCGTGCTCTTCACAGGCACTATTTGCTTCTTAAGGAATTGTTGTTTTTGGTGGCTGACACGTGGGGTGGGGCTTGGCAGCCGGATGTGAGTCTGAGTCTATCTCTGCCACTGGCTCCCTGTGTGGTCACAGCCGGTCACCTCCCTGAGCCCCAGTTTTCCCATCTGTAAAATAGGGAGATTGCTAGATTCTTGGGAGGAGGGGGAGACCTAATTTAGGGCTTTGCAAACTTCATGGACGTGTTTAGGAGAGGGGCTGAGAAAGCATATGACGTTTTAGAATGTGTTTTCATTTTATTGCTGATATTACTTAAAAAAGCAAATACATAAGGTGGGTAGGGTAGACACATATTCTGACTAGCCCCTTCCATAGAACATTCTGCGATGTTGGAAACGTTCGGTCTCTGGCACCAGCCAGGTGCGCCTGTGAGCACTTGGAATGAGGCTGGTGTGATGGGAGAACTGAGCATTTAAATTTAAATTAAACGACTCTGCGGGGCTAGTGACTACTGGTCAGCCCAGCTGAGGTCATTCAGACAACTACCCTAAACCCAGGTCTCTGGCACTATGGTCACCTCATGGGACAGCCTTTCTCAAATTAGGGCTGGTGGACCATAGGGTGAGAGGATGTTGGGGAATTTTTCTTCCCTTTGAAGGGTCTATTACAGTAACAGACCAGCACTCTTTTTTATTTATTTATTTATTTTTGAGACAGAGTCTCACTCTGTCACCCAGGCTAGAGTGCGTGGCATCATCAGCACACTGCAGCCTCCAACTCCTGGGCTCAAGTGATCCTCCTGCCTCAGCCTCCCAGGTAGCTGAGACTACAGGTGTGCGCCACTGCACCTGGCTCAGTTTTTTTCTTTTTTTAGTAGAGGTGGGGTCTCAGTCTCGCTTAGGCTACAGACCAGCACTCTTTTTTTTTTTTTTTTGAGACAGAGTCTCACTGTGTTGCCCGGGCTAGAGTGCTGTGGCGTCATCCTAGCTCACAGCAACCTCAAACTCCTGGGCTTAAGCGATCCTCCTGCCTCAGCCTCCCGAGTAGCTGGGATTACAGGCATGTGCCACCATGCCTGGCTAATTTTTTCTATATATTTTTAGTTGTCCAATTAATTTCTTTCTAATTTTAGTAGAGACGGGGTCTCGCTCTTGTTCAGGCTGGTTTCGAACTCCTGAGCTCAAACAATCCGCCCGCCTTGGCCTCCCAGAGAGCTAGGATTACAGGCGTGAGCCACCGCGCCCGGCCAGAGATGAGCACTCTTAAGCAGCCACTGGGTCAAAAAAAAAATTGCAAGGGAAATTAAAAAATACTTGGAGATGCATCAAAATGAAAACACCACCTACCAGAAGTTCTGGAATGCAGCTAAAGCAGTGCTCAGAGAAAAATTTATAGCTGTAATGGCCACATCAAGAAAGGTGAACATGTCAAATCCAATACATAATCTTTCACCTCAGGAAACTGGAAAGAGAAGCTCTCATTAAACCCAAAGCAAGCAGACAAAAGAAAGTAATAAAGATTGAAACAGAGAAGAGAGAAACAAAATCAACAAAACCAAGTCGGTCCTATGAAAAGGTTGACAAAATTGGCTGACCTGAAGAGGGGTCGATTTTTAGCAGCACCCAAAAGCACATGTTTATATCCACAAAATAAAAAAATTTCAAAATATTGACAAGCCCCCGTCCCAGCCCTGGCCTTCTCTGCAGGTTGAGCCTGTGCACAGGAACAGGTGGACCAGTCTGTGTCCGTCCGGCTGGCTACTCACAGCTGGTGATGCCATTTCCCGCTCCCCTTCCCGAGCCACTGGCTGCAGAGAAGGGATCTCGAGGGAGCGGAGGGCATAGGGAGGCCAGGGTGGCCCCAGACCCTCACCTCAGCTTGCTCCCCCAGGGCTCCTTCAAGGAGCTGGTATACGTGTTCATCATGGTGAAAGACGCTGGCTTCACCCCGGACCTGCTGTCCTACGCGGCCGCCCTCCAGTGCATGGGACGGCTCGACCAGGATGCCAGGACCATCCAAAGGTAGGTGGTGTTGGGTGGCCCCCGGCCTGGGCTGTGGGCTGGGACCCTCGGAGGACCCGAGGAGGTGTCCTCAGGGTGGGCTATGTGGGGGCTGAGTCTGGGGCTGCTCCGCAGGTGTCTCAAGCAGATGGCCCGGGACAGGCTGCAGCTACAGGACCTCTTCACAGTCGTGCCCCTGTCTGAGGAGGAGCGGGCCGCGCTCCTGAGGGCCATAGTCAAGGCTCGGCCAACCTTCAGGCCACGGCTGCGGCCCCCGCCCCAGGTCAACACCTCGACGCTGCTCAGGGAGGTCTACGCCAAGGTGAGTGGGGCCTGGCACCAACGGGCAGGTGTCTCTGCCCTTTACCGGTGCTGTGCTTGTCCCAGGAGCCTCGGCTCGGCACCTGCTGGCTGTCACACAAGCTCTGAACCCTCCCTTCCTGCTCCGAGAAGATGGAACAGTGGAGCTGGAAGTGCCCTGCCCTGCAGGGCGTGGGAGGGCCTTGGCCTGGGGGTGACAGGTGCCAGGAGGATGAGGCCATCAGAGGATTGGAGGGGACAGGGCCCCAGGGCACTGCAGGGATGGCCCTGACATGGCCTAAGACTGGTGTTGGGACTCAGCTGCTGCCAGAACCAGGCTGGGGGCCGTGACCTCCCCCGCCCCCGAGGGCAGGAGGGGAGTGTGAGGGGCGGGCGGAGCCACCTGGCAGATGCCTTGGGTTTGTCTTTTACTTAGATGTAATTCACCTGCCACAAAATTCACCCTTGTAGAGAGTGCAATTCAGTGTTTTTAGCATATTGAGAGTTGTGCAACCACCACCACTACCATCTGTTCTTGAAACATTCTCATCACCCCAAAAAGAAACCCCATCCCTATCAGCAGTCACTCCCCAGCCCTGGCGACCACGAATCCACGTCCCGTCTCTGTGGCTCTGCCTGTTCTGGACGTTTCACACAAATGGAGTCTCACACTGTGTGACCTTCTGTGTCTGGCGTCTCTCACTGAGCACGACGTCCTCAAGGTCCATCCACGCTGTGGCCTGTGTCAGAGCCTCGTCCCTTTCATAGCTGAGTGACATTCCACGTGTGGGTGGACCGCACTGTCCATTCGTCCATCGATGGGCGTTTGAGCTGTTTCTACCTTTCAGCTTCTCTGAATGATGCTGTGAACGTTTGTGTGTAAGTTTTTGTGCGGACGTGTGCTTTCAGTTCTCAAAGCGTTCGGTTTAGTTGCTATTTTTAATTTATCTGTTGTCTATTTTTGGCCTGGTCACACGTTCACATGATTCCAAATTTGAGAATAAAACAGCAAACATCCAGGGACGCGATGAACTGTCTGCTGGGCTCTGCCGGCCGCCGCCCTGCCCTGCCCAGTCCCCCTCCCAGATGGGCACCCCTTGTCCCTGTCACCAGTGGCACCTGCTTCACACACTGTGCCACTGCTCTCTGCGTTGTCAGCGATGGAGGAGGGTAACTCTCAGGAGACTTGCAGGGGCTCCTGGGCAGGGCAGGTGGACGTGCCGGGTAGGTGCCGGGCAGAGGGCACAGGTCACAGGCCTCCCTCGGTCAGACGCCCGGGCCCTCACCACCCAGCTCTTCCCCCAGGATGGCCCCGTGTCCTACCCGAAGCTGCACCTGCCCCTGAAGACCCTGCAGGGCTTCTTCCAGCAACAGCTCCACATGGAGCTGACCGCCAGTGTCTGCGTGGAGTCCGTGGAGAAGGCTGTGCTGACCAAGGAGACCATGCATGCGGTGAGGGGCTCAGACCTGCGCCGCGCGGAATGGGCCGTCCCCTGGTCTGGGTGTGTGGCAGGGGTCAGGGTCCTGGGGTCTTGCCAGGCCGGGGCTCAGGAGGGACTGGTGGGGCCCTGAGGGTGGGTCTCAGCCTCCTCAAACACACCGAGGGCCCCACAGGGTCTCTGCAGGGTGATGCCACTGGGACAGGACTCCTGGGGCCTGTGGGCTCGGGTCCTACGGCTGCTGCCATGGTGACCACGCCCACGTCCTGCCCCCTCCCTCCCCCCTGCAGCGGAAGACCCTGACGAACCTGCGAGTTCAGTGGGAGGCGGCACTGCACCGAGCGCTGCAGGAGACCAAGGCCAGCCTGGCCCGCCAGGCGCACGAGGGCCGCCCCACGCTCTACCCCTTCCTGTGCCTGCTCAGCGAGCATGAGTTTGTGCGGCTGCTCACGCAGGTGGGTCTGGCTTCCCGTGGGCACTGAGTGGGGGGATCGGGGGGTGGTGGGTGGTGGGCTCACAGCTGCCTTCCCCAGACCCTGCAGGCGCTGCCCGCCCAGGGCAAATCCTTCATCTCCGTGGCCCAGGAGCTGGGCCGGCGGACCTTCAGCCGGCACATGGTGCAGAAGCAGCAGCTCAACAACCAGGTGCAGGCGCTGGAGCGGCGGTACACGCAGTATCTGCGCCTGCTGGCCTCCGACACCCAGGTGAGCGCCAGCCGCGGGGCTGGGGAGCCAGGTGGGTTTCCCGGTGCGGAAACTGAGGCCCCAGCCATGGGGCCACGCAGCGCAGTGGGTGCCCCCCTCCATCCCAGCCTGTCCCATTTGTAGAACGGGGGCCACAGTTGCCCAACCAGCTGGGCGAGGTGGGGACATCCAGCGCTGAAGCCCTCCTGACTGACCCTTCCCTGCAGGTGGCCGAGCCCCACCTGCCACGGCAGTACTGGGAGGCGCTGGGGCTGCCGGAAGCGCCGCAGGAGAAGCCCTGGCCGGTGCCGGTGCTGCTGCAGCTGGGCAGGCAGCTGGCGGAGCTGCTGGTGCAGGCTGTGCAGATGCCGCGCAGCCCGGCCGCGCCCCCAGGCTCCTGCGGGCTCATCCCTGTGCTCTACCACGTGTACTCCTTCCGCAGCTTCCGCCAGGTGGGAGTGGCTGGGGGTTCTAGGTGGTGCGGGGCCCCCGGGCTGAGTCCTGGGGTCGCCCCAAGTGGGTGGCAATGCTGTGCCTCGCTGCAGTGGGTCCTTGCCGGTTGGCCCTGCCTCCGATTACTCGGAACAGAGCCCCTGGGGCAGGCCCTGACCGCCTGTCTGCCTGCACGTCTAGATCGGCATCCTGAAGCCGCACCCGGCCTTCGTGCAGCTGCTGGCGACCGCGGCGGAGCCCATGCTGACCTTCGAGACGGTGGACGTGCCCATGCTGTGCCCGCCCCGGCCTTGGACCTCCCCGCACTCCGGCGCCTTCCTGCTAAGCCCCACCAAGCTGATGCGCGCGGTCGAGGGCACGACGCAGCACCAGCAGCTGCTGGAGCGCTGCCCGCCTGCCGAGCTGCACGGCGCCCTGGACACACTCACTCAGCTGGGCAACTGCGCCTGGCGCGTCAACGGGCACGTGCTGGACCTGGTGCTGGAGCTCTTCAGGGACAAGGGCTGCTCCCGCCTGGGCGTGCCACCCCCGCCCTCCGAGGCACCCCAGCCACCGGAGGGCCGCCTGCCGCGGGACACCCCACCTGCCCGAAAGGCTGAGCTGCGGCGGGAGATGGCCCGCTGCCTCAAGGTTGCCCGCGAGATGCACAGCCTGCGCATGGACGCCCTGTACCGCCTCTCGCTGGCCCAGCACCTGCGGCACCGCATCTTCTGGCTGCCCCACAACATGGACTTCCGCGGCCGCACCTACCCCTGCCCGCCGCACTTCAACCACCTGGGCAGCGACCTGGCGCGGGCCCTGCTGGAGTTTGCAGAGGGCCGCCCGCTCGGACCCCACGGCCTCGACTGGCTCAAGATCCACCTGGTCAACCTCACGGGGCTCAAGAAGCACGCCTCGCTGCGGGCACGTCTCGCCTTCGCCAACGAGGTGATGGAGGACATCCTGGACTCCGCGGACCAGCCCATGGCGGTAGGGCCCCAGCCACGGCCACGCAGCCCCGCCCACTGTCCGTGGCTCCCGCTGCTGGCCTCTGGCTCCTGCTGCCCCACAGGCCTCTCAGACTCTGTCCTCTGTCCTCCCTCTTCCCTCAGAGCCTCAGGACAAGCTGCCCGCGAGCGCTTTTCCCCTGGTCTTGCTTCCTACCCCAGTCCACGGCAACTCCGACCTCTGTCCACAGCCTCCCCTTCCCTGTGGCTGTTCCACACTCCTGTCCAGGGCACCCCTCCTATATCCTGCCAAGTTGGGTCCTGTCTGCCCCAGCACTTGTGCGTGTGTCCTCCCTGTGTCCCCATGTGCCCTGGGGCTAGAGAACCCCTGGCCTCACCTGGTGCCACCCGACTGCCCTCCACAGGGCCGCAAGTGGTGGATGGAAGCGGATGAGCCCTGGCAAGCCCTGGCCTGCTGCGTGGAGATCGCTAGGGCCGTGCGCACCCCCGACCCCGCCACCTATGTCTCCCACCTCCCTGTTCACCAGGTGAGCCATGGGTGGGGCCCTGACAGTCAGGGTTGGGTTTACGGTATCCCAGGTCCCAAGGTTTGCAGTCTGACGTTGCATCTTGAAACCTGGGCAACTTTCAGGGACAGCCACAGTGGGTCCCAATGGCTTTGCTGTGTGGCCTTGTGCAGGCATGTCCTCCCCTCCCTGCCGGCAGGGTGCAGGGTCCAGGGGCAGCTGCCCCACTGCCCCTGGGCTTTGGGGTGTGTGGCTCTAGGGACGGCTCAGCTTGGGGGTCACTTGGGGGCTACCACACCCGTCTCTCTGAGCCCTTTCCCTTCTGTGGTGGGGGCCCGAGAGCTCACGGCATGCGCAGAGCCCTGGGGAAGCACAGAGCCGTGGTGTCGTAGCTTGTGGATGCCTCACCCCCACTGTGTCCCCCCTGCCACCCAGGACGGCTCCTGTAACGGTCTGCAGCACTATGCTGCCCTGGGCCGTGACAGCGTGGGCGCCGCCTCTGTCAACCTGATGCCCTCGGACCTGCCACAAGATGTGTACAGCGGGGTGGCCGCGCAGGTGGGCTCTGCGGGCCCCTCCCTACCCTGCTGTCCACCCAGGGTCTCGGGTACAGCAGGGACATGGGCCCTTAAGTCAGTGCCACAGCCCCACGGTGACCCCACAGTGACCCCGTCCTCGGCCTGTCCCATGGGGTGTGATGGGGGCTCCCTGGGGAGACGTCAGGGGCCGGGCGGTCCCCCAGCTGCCTGACTCGCGCCGCCGGCACAGGTGGAGGCGTTCCGCAGGCAGGACGCAGAGCAGGGGCTACGCGTGGCGCAGGCGCTAGAGGGCTTCGTCAGCCGCAAGGTGGTCAAGCAGACCGTGATGACCGTGGTGTATGGAGTCACCCGCTATGGTGGGCGCCTGCAGATCGAGAGGCGCCTCAGGGAGCTCAGCGACTTCCCCCAGGTAGGCGGGCCTGTGGCATCGGGAAATCTGATTTCACCCCCGACCACTGGCTGCCCTTGGCCTGGGGCTCGTCTCCTGCCAGCCGCCCGCGGGTCAGCTCCCCTGCTCTCATCCACCCCCAGGACCCTGTGCCTCAGGGGTTGTGACTGGGCCGCCCCGTGGGGGTGGCGGTCCGCGTGGGCCCCCTGCCAACCCCCTGCCCGGCCCACCACCTGCCCTCCCCAGGACTTCTTGTGGGAGGCCTCCCACTACCTGGTGCGCCAGGTGTTCAACAGCCTGCAGGAGATGTTCTCAAGCACCCGGGCCATCCAGGTGAGCCATCCCCCCACGGCTCCCTGAGGAGGGCGGCAGGTGCGCCCGCGGCCCTGGTCTGAGCTGTCCCCCGCCCACAGCACTGGCTGACTGAGAGCGCCCGCCTCATCTCTCACACGGGCTCAGCGGTGGAGTGGGTCACGCCACTGGGCATCCCGGTCATCCAGCCCTACCACCAGGAAGCCAAGTTCACGGTACGTGGACCCCCAGCCCCCTCAGCAGGTCGGGCCTGGTGCGGGACTCACAGCCTCTGCCCCGCCTGCAGATCAGAGGAGGGATTCAGAGCATCACCTGCAGCAAAGCCAAGGACAGCAGCCAGTGAGTGGGGGCCCGGGCTGGGCGGGGGCCGGGGTGGGGTGTGTGCTGGGCCCTCAACCCCTCCCCATCCCCCAGGAAGCCCAACATAAAGAAGCAGAAGAACGGGTTCCCACCCAACTTCATCCACTCGCTGGACTCCTCGCACATGATGCTCACGGCCCTGCACTGCTACAGGTGGGGACCCTGCTCTGTTAGCCTGATTCCTGTGTGCCAGGCCCACGCAGGTCCCCGGGATGGTGTCCAGAGGGATGGAGTGGGGTCTGGGGGAGATGAGGACTCTGGCCATGTCTTCGGCCTGGTGCCCAGAGGAGGAACAGCCTGTGCAAGGGCCCTGAGGCAACGGGGCGTGAGCGTTGGGCAGGGGTGAAGGTGGCCCTTGAAGTTCCCACATAACAGGGTCCCTGTGGCCACGTGGGGAGAGCAGGGTGTGGGCTCTGCCCCTTCCAGGTGTGGCACAGCAAGAAAAGGTCGGCTCCGAGGCACCTGGACTTCGTCCTGGCGGGATCCGTAGGCCGTGTGGAGGGTGGGGAAGATCTGGGTGGGGGAGCCAGAGGGGCAGGGGTGTGGACGTCCTGCGGGGAAATCGCTGCTGTGCAGGTGACAGCCGGGCTGGACAGGGTTCAAGGCAGACGCAGCCCAGGACGAGGTCTGGAGGGGCCGTGCATCCACGGCCTGGAGGAGCTGGACACCTTTGGCACCTGGCGGGATGTGGGGCAAAGGCTCCAGGAACAGCTGCGCAGAGGCCAGGCCCAGGCTTGCCAGGGGGCAGCTGGTGTGATGGAGAGGCTCGCGGGAGGGTGGGCGTCCCCGGACGCCGAGTGGGTCTGAGCCCCAGGGGGAGGGGCCCCTCCTCACCGCGCTCCTCTGCTGCAGGAAGGGCCTCACCTTCGTCTCCGTCCACGACTGCTTCTGGACCCACGCGGCTGACATTGCCATCATGAACCAGGTGCCCCTGGCCCTGTGGTGACCTGAGTGTGTCCACTCACCAGTGGGCCGCACCGGGGTGTGGGGGGTGTGGCGCCAGGCCCCGCCTGACCTGGGATGCCCCCCCAGGTGTGCCGTGAGCAGTTCGTGCGTCTGCACAGCCAGCCCATCCTGCAGGACCTGTCTGCGTTCCTGGTGAAGCGCTTCTGCTCCAGTCCCAGGTGAGAGCCCCTCCACCGCCAGCGTATCCGGTCGCCCCCTTCTTGTCCCTGTCCGGCCTCACCCCCACCCGCCTTTAGCTTCCAGCCCCGGAGTGTGGCCCAGCGAGCACAGATGGCCAAGCTGATGGAGACGCTGCAGTCCCTGCCTGAGACAGGTAGGGGCGGGCCGCTTGCGCCGGGGGGCGGGCCTCCCTGCCCGACCCTGCTCCCGCCCACCGCCCTCTGCTCCCTCCGCAGGGAACTTCGACCTGGAGCAGGTGAAGCGCTCTACCTACTTCTTCAGCTGACGTCCCGGGCGCCTTGTACCATAGTGTAAATAAAGTTCAGTCGCCACCCACGGGAGCTGCTGCCTTCGGGAGGGCGCGCGCCCTGCCGCCTGGGGCCGGCCCCAAGCAATCAGACGCGGCAGGCTGGGCGCCAATGCTGTCGTTTATTGCGCGGAATGGGGGTGTGGGGGTTAATGGGGCATGGGGGCCGCGGTGGGGGCGCTGCTGCCTCGGCTCGTCAGTACATTCATCACGACGGCGGGACCCCCGGCCTCGCCCCACGCCCGGGCCCTGGTGCGGTGCTGACAGCCGGGCGTGCCCGCTCCGGGGAGGGCACCGCGGGGCACGTGGGGACGGGGCCGGGCCGGTTATTGCGTGAGCGCGATGGGGGCAGCGGGAAGCCGGCAGGCCAAGTATTGCACTTAAAAAACAATCCTCATCAGACGGCGAGCCACCTACGAGGGTGGGGGCGGGCGGGACTGCACAGCCATCTCCTCCTGGCCACGGGCCGCCCCGTCCCCGCCTTACAGTTGGGGGAACTGAGGCACCGAGGTGAAGAGAGCCCCTCGCACGCACGCGAGGCCGCCGCCGGGGGCAGGGGCGATGGGGGTGGGCGCAGGGCGGTGAGGGGGGACGGCCGGGGGCGCGGAGGGGGCTGCCCCGCCAGCCCGGCCCGCCCGTCCGACTACAACTACCTACGTCTCCTCTATGGCTTCTGGGGCGGGCGGGCGCCGGGGCAGCGCGCAATGGCATGGCTTTGGTCTGGATGACGGCCCGCCCCCGGCCAGCCCGGGCCCGCGGGGCGGCGCGGCGAGGGTCACAAGTTGGACGAGAGGCGCGAGCGCGCGGAGTCCAGCGGGTCGAGGCCGCCGGCTGCGCCGGGCGAGGCTGAGTCCCTGCGGTCCGGGCTGGGCGCGGCGACCCGGGCGGCGGGCGCGGGCCCCAGGCGCGGCGTGGAGCTGCTGGCCGGGCGCGCCGAGGCTGCGGGGCCCGGCGCCCCGTGAGGCAGCGAGGGCTGCGAGGCGGACAGCGGGCGTGACGCGCGGCTCAGGCGGCGCGCGGGCAGCG